ACAGCCATCTTGGAGAGTACATAAAATGCTTTGAAAAAGGAAGGGATTTGCTTAAAAAGGAAAAACTATTCTTGAGACTAAGAACAAGCAACGTACATTGAAGATTTTCTTGACCAGAGCTGACAGAGCAATGTGGTTCTCAAAAGCATTTGGCCTTGAGCTTGACTCACTTAAAGTTACAGAAGTAGAAACTGTGAAAACCCATGAAATTTATTCAACACTAAATACAGAAAAAACAGAGGGTTGTTTAACCGGTGACACTGACATAAGTGATACTGACATGTCAAGAGTTGAACAAATCCTGTGCTTGGTTGATAAATTTTGTGTCAGTGATGAGTTCTACCATGAACTAACCATGATTGAGAATGGTCTTCCAAGGTCTTATCTCATCAAACAATCACTGAAATCTGCCTCTTTTGCAGCAGATTTCAGCATTTAAAAAGGAAAATCCTAAGTTTAACTTTGGTAATGAAATAAAAATCACCTTTATGACTGAGTGGAAAAATGCTAAAAGAAGATGTACCTTAAAGCGGTTTCATTGAGGTTCTCTTTGACTTCCCAGGTGTCGTTAAGGGAGCTGTACTCCTTCCAACGAATTAGGTTCTCATTTCTCATTTTAAAGACAAAATACGCACAGCAATTCTTGGTGTACGGTTGAAATTTTACATATGCTACTCATTTCAAACAAGCGTCATATTTACCTTTCCTTTATTTCATCTGCAACTCAACACTCTTTCAACTTGAAAGTAAGGGCTTTTCCTTCTTTTCGATCTACTCTCCATGAAATCTGCAGAACCAAGAGCATTTAAGCTGCGGTAATAGCCCTTCGAACGATTTTTCCTTCGTCCGTCCGCCATATTGAATACCGAAATTCACGCCCCGGTCGTTCAATCCACTGACTGCATACGATTTCTGGTTATGAAGAGGATTATTCTAACACCTCGAACAAAGATACTTTCGAAACACTTCGGATTCGAAAGTAAGTAAGCAAGTAAGTAAGTAAGTAAAGACTTTATTTCATGAGGTTTAGATAGATAGATAGATAGATAGATAGATAGATAGATAGATAGATAGATAGATAGATAGATAGATAGTTTATTAAAATTACATCGCATCCAAAGGCTGAATTACGCAATTAATTACAAAAACTTTACAATACTTGAAAATTACAAATGAATCCAAGAAAATAAATCGAAAACTGATTTTTAAGATAACATTAAAAAATTCTATATAACATATTCATATTGAAATATGTTAAAATATAAAGCATGAATATAAGTGGGATAAAACTACAGCCCGGACTGTTTCGACATCGCTTATATAAAAGTATTACTTGTTGTGTTCGTGCAAAGCTTTGGCATATTAAAAAGGCGCTGTCTTCTTAGGATCATAGCGTGAGTTGTCATGGTCTGGTGGAAGGAGCGCCTTCAATTTATGGTTTGGATCACTGACAATATTATCAAAAAGCCTGCTACATAGTACGTGTAATAATGCTCCAAAATGGGTGTTAACCCCACCTCTATTGCCGAGTTGCACTTTCCTGAGGTTATTACTGATATTGCTCTTTTCTCGAGCCGTATCAGCTCTTTCTTTAAGTACTAGGGGAGACCGTTAAAAAAGACAGGTGCTGCATAATCAATAACAGATCTCACGCACGATACGTAGAACAGTGCTAGATCTTGTTTCGGAACTCCGCTCTCTTTAACTGAGTTAGGAGCTAGCGCGAAGTAGCCGGAGCTAATAAACTTGTGGCCCTCTAAATAAGAAATAAATAAATAATAAAACAATAAATGAGTATACTAAGCTATAAAAAAATACAAGGTAAAAAAACCAAAGAATACAGATACTACAGAATCTACCAATCTATTTTAAAGATAAAATATCACATTACAATCTGCTGACGATGTGATTGTAGTATCGTCGGCATAAAGATCGCTTTCAGAGGAGCTGACATGAAGCGGCAGGTCATTATTAAAAACTGTGAAAAACAAGGGGCTGGGTATACTGCCCTGAGGAACCCCGTGTTTCATAAGCGCAACCACCCAAATAGACAAGCTGGTGTCTGTCCGCCAAATAAGACTGGAACCACTTCATTGTTTCGCCAGCAACACCATACACTTTCAGCCTATCTAGAAGAAGACCATGATCGAAGGCTTTACAGTAGTCTACCAGCACCATGCCACTAACTCTATTCTTATCTAAATTTAAAAGCAATTTGTTAATTATCTGTATCAGAGCAGTGTCTGTAATGTGATTCTTTCGAAAACCAGAGTGGCGAGGATAAATCAAATTGTTTTCAGTTAGATAATTGTATAAAGAGTCATGCATATGTCTTTCGATAACTTTAGAAAGGACAGGTAGCGCAGATGTTGGTCGAAAGTTCTGAATGTCCCGTGAGTCACCATTCTTATACAGAGGAGAAACTTTAGCTGTTTTCCAACGTTTTGAAAATGATCCACTGGAAAAGGGAAAGTTAATTAATCTCGCAACAAAAGGTGCCGCTATACGCAACAGCTGAGAACTTATTTTATCGACGCCAGCAGCTTTGCGCGGACTTAACTTTTGTAACATAGTAAGCACCTGCGCACTAGTGATGAATGGAATATCATAAAATGTATCAGGACTTCTTCTGGATTTGACAAAGTCTTGCAGCTTTGAGGGTCTGATGGAACTTGCGATAATGTAGTTCTTAACCTATCTGCTATACTGGAAAAAATGAGCGCTAAAACGTTGCGCCATGAGCTTTTTGTCTTCTATAACAGCTTCCCCGATATTAATACCGTTACTATCGCGCCTGTTCTTTCCTGAGCCAGTCAGTGTTCTTATTGTCTTCCACATTCCTCTTGAATTGCTTTTATTTTCCTCGAAGGCATTGCAGAAAAATTTTCTTTTTGCGCTCCTAATCATCGCAACTGCTTTATTTCTTGCCGCTCTGTAATTAGACCAATCATCAGCATTATTGGAACGCCTTGCAGTTTTTAGGCAATTATCTCTCAGGTGTAGCTGTGAACAGTGCGCTTTACATGCTTTTCAGGCCAGGGGCAATATACTATTAAAAACTCCCAAGAGTCCAGCATATCATCAATCTCATCAAATACGAATATTGTATCCTAAGGGGCCTGACTCAGTGCTTCTTTGAATCGGTTCTCGTCGAATTGCTTTATGTCAGGATATCTAATATTCTGATTTTTCTGCATGCTACAAGATCCGCGCTCGTTGTTATATCTGCGTACAGCAAAAATAGGTACGTGATCAGAGAGGCCACAGTTGA